AACCTCCGGCAACTCAGCATGGTCCTCTGGGCTCCTTCCGACCCTTCAACGTGCCGGCCCGGGCCCAAGAGATACGGGGGCTGCCGGCAAGCCCGCTTGAACTGTTCCTCCAATACGTTCCGCAGAGCCTCGTAGAGCAGTGAGCCCAGTGGACGAATACAGCACCGTTGTCTAGGGAGGGCCCTAGGGCTAGACGGGCTACAGACAAAAGGAATACCTCTATTCCATGGGAACAGCATAGGAAGGGATCAAGAAAGGTATCTTAACCTTGTACCTATTGTGGTAATAGGAAGGCTTTAAAGGAGATATCTGGGAATGCCATCGCTCTGCAACGACGGTAGACAACTCGAAAGGGCTGCTTAGATTGTAATGTACCGTTATGTATTAGCAAAGATTGCTGGTACCTCTGGCACACCCAAAATTTATAGGAAATAGAGGTACTGCAGCCCTATTGGTTAACTTGATAGATTTGCAAGCCCTTATTGGCTCTACCCCGCCCTTGGCGAAAGTGCTGTCCATCAGCACCCGATGGGATAACCATACTAATCCCCATTCATTATGCCACTGCTGACCATATTGAAGATTTCTCACGATGGATGTAATTGGCTGTCGAGGAAATGGGAAATGAGTCAGCACGTCAGATGCACTGAGCCAATGGCATGGCGGAATTCCGACGTCGACGAACGGCAATCTACTGACTGGGGAACGGCAGACAAGCCGCCTGTTGGAAAACCTTCCGTAAGAAGGATATTGCGATTCCAGACGTAGCTGGCGTGAGATCCGTGAATGGGCGACCCTGTGTCTCAAGTGATGACGGAGGCATACACATTTGCGAAACGCCGGTAATGTTTCTTCCATATGTATGGCCACTTCAGCCAAGGAGGGAAAAGGAAAGGAAAGGAAAAAACGTGGTTCTATCGGGATTCGAATTCAGATCCTCTGTGCTATCAGAGGGCTGCTTCAGCTCTTAAGTTGCGAGATCTTGCGATGTGAAGCACGGTCCCCGATGTAGTTATATCAAAAGGCTCGAGTTAAGGAGCACGCTGTAAGTTGTCACTGATACTGCAAGACAACACTTGAAGGCAATTTGTCGTGAAACTGAAGCAATACGGACGATAAGTACAATATATCAGGCGATTTTTATATGGAATGTTCAGCTAGACCTTGCTACACAAGACCAGATAGCCTACTTTCTTCCGCAGAAGCTCCCCCGCTTAGGCCGCTTGGTCAGGCTTGCTCCGTCGTCGCTGTCGTCGAGCACCTCTATCTCTCCGGACCGCTTCGAGCCACTAGGTGGGGCTTCATGAAGACCGTTGACTACAATCAGATCATCATCACCAATAGTGGTGCCTAAAGCCCATGACGTTAGCGGTCCCAGCCTAGACTATGAGGAGATCAAGCCGTCACTCACTTGACTTGTACGGGGTAGCTGGCCCCTTCGTGTCAGCCGTCTTTTGGTCAAGGGGGTCAAAGATGAACCTCCCCCTGCCACGGCTGGGGGTCTCTGGCTTGTATAGTGTGGCGAGCAGATTGTGGGTTCCCTGGTGCTGCGTTGGCTCACCAGCAGCCCAGTCAATCTTCAGAATCTCTACGAGAGGCACAAACTCGACAGGGTTGTAGGGGCAGCTTTCCGAAAAGACAGCGCTCTTATTGCACAAGCCATGGAAGTAACCAGTGACGTAGGCCTTTTTCCCGTGCTTTCGAAACGGCGTTGTGTCGGCGCGGTAGTCTTCACACTTCTTTTCCATGTGTGGCTTGCATTTGGGAAGCATGGCGTATACGTAGTTGGCATGCCATCCTGTCTTCGGGGTACGAGCGGCCTCTGTGACAGTAAACTTCGACCAGACCCTGAAGACGGCTGACGAATTCCTGGTTATATCGTCTAGACCGATAAAAGGATTGTCGGCAAGGGGGAACTTCTAGGCGTCGACGAACCCGTTGAAGGTCACAAACGGCGGCGTGATCGGAAATCGAGGGGGCAGGTCGACACAGGTGCGGTCAGAAATAGTAAGGAGTAGCCTAAGAGCAGTCGCTCCATCACTGGGGACCGGAAAACCTACGGCGTAAGGGCGTCATCTTGAATCCATGCCAGGCGCTTATAGCCTACTTCATCTTCGCCAGACAGACCACAGGGTACATAGCTGAAGTGGAATTCGCAGACAATGCTAAACCACTGATCCTCTCAGTCGTCGGTGGTCAATGAGCCCCCTAAGTGGAAGCGACAGAGGTCCAGAGATAGGGCGTCGTCGTGGAGGGTGACGAGGACACCAGGGAACGTATCGATCAACCATTGCGGTGTGTGAATCGGAATTTGGATTTGGGCCGTCCAGTTTCGATAGCGGAAGACTTGGGAGTCTCTGTTGAGAAGTTCAACAGCAGCGCACATACCCATTCAAATCAATCAAACAAATAAGTCAAACAAACAGTCAAATATAGGAATTTCAGCGAGTCAAACAATCAAATATCGTGAGGCCCTAGTTATATTTGATATATTTGATCAAATATGAGGTCGCCCGGAAAAAGGAATATCCGGGGCCGGGCCAATCAAAAATCGACGCTGCTAATCACGCCCCACAGAAGCTCGTCATTGGCATCATGAATACTGACGGTTAGTCAGGGTGGCCAGCGGAATATGCATATGTGAGTGAGCAGAAAAGAGCGTCTATTCGTACTAAAGAGTGGATGGAATCACCACAGGCTTGTGGGCCTAATGCTATCCTAATAAGTCTTGCAGAGCTAGGACCAGGTGGAAATGACAGTCTGGCCTGTTTCGTGATGGTCAGACCATTCCGAATGGGTTATGTCCATGACTCGCGTAGAAGCATGCATGGATTCTGTCAAATACCCATAGCGGGATTCCAACCCACGACTCCTCACTTACGATTGTAAGTTCGGTATTATACCACTTAACTATATGGATTGCTAGTATTTGTTACGTTAACAAGAAATGCCTGAGTAGTATAGAGCGCTGGATTTGGCATCCTACAATGTCCAGGAATCAAAAAAACCTCCGCTAGTCAACTGGTGCCCCCTTTTCTCAACATCAACAAAACCAATGAAGTTACGCACTACCACTTCCAACCCTTTACGACCACCACAATTATCGTCAAAATCAATTAAATTATATATCAATCGATTCGCCATATCGTAATTAATTAATTAGCAATGAGTCGCACGGTCTTTGGCGCGCCGCAGCCACTTCGGATTACCTCGCAGCTACAGGCCCCAACCGACGCCAGTCTCGCATCATCGACCGACCTCGACACTCGCGACAACCTCCTCGCCCTTCCAAAAGCCTTCTGGAAAGGGAGGACTTTCTTTAACGCCGATTTGATATCACAGAAGGGCGCAAGGCCAAGGAAGTCGTGGATCCGCTTAGAGGGGGTCTTCGCTCGAGAGATCTACGATGGAAACATTCGAGGCGAAGTCTTCTGGTTTTGTCGTCGCGACGACCAAATAGGCATTATTACCTACTTCAAAGCGATAGCTACGAGCTCAGCAACGACTCACTTAAGGTCAAAGCACCGAGTAATGGATCCAAGCTCCAGCGAGTCACCACATCCATCAGAATCCTCAGAGTACGACTCTGCGCCGAAGAGACGGAAACTTACCTCTAGTGCTGTCACGAAGGGCCAGGTAACGAGAATTGAGGAATTGGTAATCGGATACATTGTCAATAGTAATAGCCCATTTACAACTTTCCAGGATCCTTACCTCCGGGCCCTCCTCTATCAGTTAGATTATAGTACTGCTAACGAACTATCATTATCATACGGAAGTATAATAAAGGAGCTAAACAGGATCTTCGTCAAGAAGAAAGATATAATCAGGGCAGAGATCCGGAGGTTAATGACGAAAGTCCACCTATCATTCGATCTATAGACCTCGCCAATGCGGAATACCATCATCGCCGTCTTTACTTACTTTCTAAACTATACTAGGCAACAAACACAATACCTTATTACTCTACGACGACAGTATAGTGCTCACGATAGGGCCAACATTGCCCAGACCATGAAATCCATAATAGACGACTAGGAATTGGGCGACCAAGTCGGAGCAATTGTTTGCGACAATGCCTCAAACAACGACACTTGCCTAGGTCACTTATATCCTATGTTATCTCATGCCTACACCCAGGAAGATGTTCTTGACCGGAGGATTAGGTGCTACGGTCACATTCTTAGCCTCGTCGGCAGGGCCTTTCTGTTTGGCAATGACAAAGAGGCATTCGAGCAAGAATCAGATACACTGATTAATACTGGGCAACTTCAAGAAGATCTCAACCTCTGGCGCACAAGGGGCCCTGTTGGTAAGCTTCGGAACGTCGTCAAATTCATTCGCTCATCGCCTCAAAGATGTGAGGCCTTCCTCGAGGTCAGCAATGAGATCGACGAGAACGACACATTTACTCTCTTCGAGGAGTCGTCGCAGGAGCTCATGCTGACGCTCAACAACGACACAAGGTGGAATTCGACATACCTCATGATACAGCGCTCTTTGCAAAAGAGAAAGCAGATCCACACCCTCTCGGCAACCAGTCGAGCTCAAAAGGATCCAAAGCAGCGGATCCCCATTGACGACGTTCTTGATGATGACGACTGGCAGCTGCTGGCCGAGCTGAAGGCGGTGCTTGAGCCACTTTACCTCCAGACGATGAGATGCCAGGTGTTACGGCCAGCTAGTCGTAGGGGTAGTTTGCAGAAGTTGAGGCTGCGGAACTGGTAACAGTAATCGTAGTCGGGGATAGCTTCAGGGAAGCTATGTCTGTCAATCGTAAGGGTAGGTAAGGCTTCGATGATCAATCGTAGTCTTGTCAAGGTAGTAGCTGAAAGCGGATGTTAATCCTGATACGAAGTTAATTGCTGAAGAAGCTATGGGAAGTCTGTCCTAGAGCCCGGCTCGAGTCCATCCTATATACAAGTCCTGATCCTGAACATATCCTTTGTTGCCTGATCACCATGTTCGTTGGTGATCACTAAGTGGATACTGGTGAGCGCTCACTTTGGGTGATCACTGTGATCACCTTATCGTGTGCTCACTTTCCTTATCGTCACGTGACTTGTTCCATAGTTCTTCCGTTCCATGAGGAGTCACCTGAGTTCCCGGATTCTCTGCGTATATCAGGTAGATAGCCGCTGCAGGCCTGTGGGGCGGGCCCCCTGGCCTTGTTATGCATGTTGGGTTGTAACATCAGCTCCTCCTCTCAATGGTCTAGTCCTCTAGGCCTATAAGTAGGTCGTTGTTTCTTGTTTTTTGGGATCGTCGATCCATCGTTCTTGGAATGTGTTTGCTAAAATGTACGCCAGTTCCTCGACTCATCGTCGTTTGAAACTTGCTCTCGAAATAAAGGAGCGTGGATTCGAAATAGAAATGCCTTGTTCGTACTGTCGGTCGTCGGGTCGAAGGTGCAAGATGCTGGAAGGGAAATCGAAGTGTTATGAGTGTACTCGTCGTGGTCGCTCTTGTGATGCAACAGCCAGTGCTATTTGTGATTGTAGGTTTCTTGTTCTTTCTCCTTCGATCTGTTTTTGGCTGATCGTGCGTAGTGGATCGTCTTCGTAAGGCGAAAAGGATGGTTTTTAAGAAGGGCAAGGCGATCCCTGATCTGCCTGAAGGTGATGGTCCTTCTGAAGAGTCTGTTGCGGCTAGGGAGGCTCAGTCTAGTGGTGCGTTTGGTGTGATTGATTGGGATACGGTGTTATTGGGGAATTCCGGATTTGACTTTGATTTCGGTACTCCTGGAGTAGTTCCCGAGAGTTCTGGAGGTTCGTAATGGGTTCCCATGTATTTTCCTCATGTCCATAGTTTTTCCATTTGATCAGGAATTCTCGTGTTTCGTTCCTGACCCTGTGGTCGATGATTCGTTCGACTTCATATTCTGGTTGGTTTGGTTCTACGATGATGCAGTCTTCTGTGTGTGATCCTCTGGGTGCTTGTTCAAGCAGTGAGATGTGAAAGACGGGGTGGCATCGCATCGTGTCCGGTAGTCTTAATTCGTAATTGACTGGTGAGACTTTCTTAATGATCTCGAAAGGTCCAAGTTTCTTATAGTCCAATTTGTCGCTTGGTCGTTTCGTTTTGATGTTGCGTCGAAGGAGATAGGCGCTATCCCCCTCTTCTAAGGTTGGTCCTCCAATCCTTGATCTGTCGGCGTTTTTCTTCATACGCTGCCGTACAAATTCGAGGTCCTGAGAAGCCTTCTTCTGGAGCTCTCTGAGTTTTGTCACGTCGGCCACGGCTTTCACGGCCTGTGGTCCCTGTCGTGCTTCTCCGTACGCTGTTGGCTGGAATCCGTAGTTAAGATAGAACGGGGATTCTCTCGTGCTTTCGCCAACTGCGCTATTATATGCGAATTGGGCCATTGGTAGTAGCGATACCCAATTATTCTGGTCGTAGTTCACATAACAACGAAGGTATGTTTCGAGGATTTGATTAATCCTTTCTGTCTATCCATCGGTCTGCGGGTGGAAAGAGGTTGACAGCTTATGGTCTGCACCGAGTTGCGAGATCAGGGATCTCCAAATCTTGGCGGTGAACAGCTTATCTCTGTCAGAGACAATTTCCTTGGGTAGACCGTGGTTGGCAACAATAGTCTTGAGGAAGGTATATGCTAGTTCCTCTGTATTGCTTGCTTCTTTGTATGGTACGAAGTAGGCGAACTTGGTAAGTCGATCGACGATGACCAAGATACTGTCGTACAGTACGTTCGTAAGTGGCTCTCTGGACTTTGGTAGTTTGACGATAAAGTCCCATGAGATTGAGTGCCATGCTTCGGGTGGTATCGGAAGCGGTTGCAGCTCTCCATAGGGCTTATGGGGGCTGTTCTTGCTCTTCTTGCAAATGTCGCAATCCTTGATTGCTTCGGCGACTTCTGCTCGCGTGGCAGACTTGTCGTAATGTTGTCGAATTCGTTTCCATGTCTTTGTGACGCCTTGGTGACCGTGTGCCTTAGCGCTATGAATTTCCATGATGAGCTCAGGGGTCATTCTTCCAGTCGGGCTGGTATTGACCTTCCTAGCTATCGTAAGGAGCTTCGTAGTAGGTACAAGGTTGCCATTGTCGTCGTGTTTGAGGATAACCTGTGTTTCCTCGGGGACCTTGACTTCGTGGTCAGGTCTTCTGCTGAGAGCGTCGGCTCTGCTGTTCTCTGAACCTTTTCTGTAGATGATTCGGAAGTTGAATTCGGAGAGGAATTCGCTCCATCTAACTTGTCGTTTATTCAGGTTCTTGTTCGTTGTGAAGTTTGCAAGATTCTTATGGTCTGTATAGACCGTGACTTCATGCTTGGTTCCTGATAACTGTGGCTTCCATTCTCGAAAGGCTTCGATTATGGCCATCAGTTCCTTATCGTGGATTTGCCAATTCAATTCTGCTCCGTGGAATGCTTTGGAGTAGAATGCGCAAGGGTGAAGTTTTCCTTGCTCGTCTCGTTGCCCTAGGACTGCTCCCATGGCGAAGTCTGAGGCATCGGTCTCAACTTCGAATGGTGTCCTTGGATCTGGGATCATAGTGGTTGGTTCGGAAACCACCATGTTCTTGACTTTGACGAATGCTTCTTCGCATTTGTCGTCCCATACGAATGGCGTGTCCTTTCGTGTCAGGTTGTTGAGAGGTGTGACTATGCTAGCGTAGTCCTTGAGGAATCGTCGATAGAAATTGACGAATCCTAAGAATTCTTGAACTTTCTTGACGTTCTGAGGTGTAGGCCAGTCCTTGACTGCTTCTACCTTCGATTCTTGCATGTGGATTTCTCCCGGTGTGATCGTGTATCCGAGGAAGTCGACTCGTTGCGTATGGAATTCGCATTTGTCAGGTTCAGCGAAGAGTTTCGCTTCCTGAAGTTTCTGGAATACCTTATGGACATGTTCCTTGTGTATATCTATATTCGGGGAGAATATGAGGACGTCGTCGATGTAGACGACAACGAAGATGTCTACATATTCTCTGAGGACATGGTTTGCCATTGTCTGGAACGTAGCGGGTGCGTTGGTGAGTCCAAAGGGCATGACGAGGTACTCGAAGAGTCCTCTGCGGGTTCGGAATGCTGTTTTCCATTCGTCTCCTTCCTTAATTCGAATCTGGTTGAATGCTTCCTTGAGATCTATCTTGGTGAACCATTGGGCTCCGTGTAATAGATCTCTGAGCTCTGTGATGAGGGGTAGGGGGTAGCAATTCTTTTTGGTAATTGCGTTGAGTCCTCTGTAGTCGATTACAGGTCTCAGTTTCTTCTTCCCCTTCTTCGGGACGAAAAAGAGTGGTGCTCCAGCGGGTGATGATGAGGGTCTAATGTGCCCTTTTGCGAGCTTTTCGTCGATGTATTCGTTAAGCTCTTCCTGCTCTTGTTGGTTCATAGGGTACAGTGGGTAGAACTTTGGTTGCATTCCTTCTTTGAGTTCGATCTCCATGTCCCAGCTGCTGTGTTCTGGCAGTCCTGTTCCTTCCTTGGAAACGAACAGTTTGCTGTACTTCCGGTACTCCTCGGGTATAGTCTGGAGTGGGTTCGATCCCTGATCGCCCGTGCCGGGTGCTAACGACCTGGTAGGCTCTACGTGTCTGACGTAGGCAATGTATTTCGTCTGTTCGTCAGGTGTTGCGTAAGACTCGTTTGAACCCTGTTTCTTAGGTCGTTCAGTGACTGAATCTGTCCATTGGATGTGGCCATTCACCCAATCTATCCGTGGATTGTGCTTTCGTAACCACGAGATCCCTAGGATGACATCGATGTCTCCGATCTCCGTGATGTCGTACTGGAGTTGTTCTGGATGATTGTTGACGTGTGTCGTGAGGTGTACGGTCTCGCGAGTGACAAGTCCTTCGTCATACCCAACTCTTTCTCCTTCTACATTCTGTAGGGTATAAGGTTCTTCCTTCTGTACCCATGGAAGGTCTAACCTGTTCACTATCTTTGGTGATATGAAGGTTCGTTGAGCGCCGCTGTCGATAATCGCGCGCATATCGTGTCCGTTTATCTGGAGTCTCACTCTCAGATGTTCGTCGTTGAGACATGTTGTTGAGCATAGGCGCTTGTCCTTGCTCTCCGCCTTTCGGTGTCTCTTGTCGATTGGCGTTTCTAGTTTTTTGTCATTCTGTTCCTCAGTCTGACGTCTTGTTCGATTCGTTCTTGGTGTTCTCTCCAGGCCCTTGCCTTGGGTAAGTAGTGGATTTGACACTGGTCGTGTCTGCAGTCGTCCCATTCTACATTTTCGCTGTTCAAGCATTGCATAGGAAAGTTTGGATCAGGTCCAAAGGTTGCCCAATTGTTGTCTTCGAAGGATAGTAGTGTCCAGCTCGTGAGTTGGTCATCTACGTAGACATCCTTGATTGGCTTGTCGTTGATTCTTCGTGGGTAGAATCGAGAGTCTCTTTTGGGTGAGAGGTGCCAAAGGCACTCGTCGTCCAGGCACTCTGCCCAGAAGAGTTCTTCGTGAAAGGGGTTCTTCGGGTCGAGTAGAGAGTGATCCTTAGACGTATAAGGCGTCATGGGGTACTTCTTGCGGTTAGAAGTTCCGTGGAGCGCAACTGCCTGATCGTCGTCGTATGGATCAATATATTTGCATCGGGGTTCGTCGAGATCCTCTTCAGAACTAGTGTCGTCAACGCTAGGCGGTGCCTTGTGATCGATCTCCGTCTGAGCACGTCGTCGAGCGACGTCGCGAGGTTCGTCCGAATCGTGAATTTTCACCTTCGTCGAATGTATGTGAGCTAGAACCAAAAGTCGGTTCTTGGCTGTCTGTTCGGAAGTCGATTCTTCCGTTCTCGTTCATTCCGAAATCAAGGTTCTTTCCCTTAATGATTTCGATTCTGTATTCGCGGTCGAGGTCTTCGAGCTGCTCGAGGACCTTGCTTTGGAACTTGTTGTTCGGGTTTTGTCGTATCATGCAGATGGACTTGGTGGGAATTCGTACTTCCCTGGCTGGGATCTCTTCTTCTAGTTGAAGTAGGGATTTCTTGTTATGATCCTCGAGGGTCTTTGGTCGTTGCGTGACCTCTTGCCTGCTTGTCATAGCGAGGGTCTTGATGCTAGCGGGCTCCTTAGGGTACCATCCCGTGTTTTCCTTACTGTCTTGATGGGTAAGGCAGTTGTCGTCGTAGCATGCCGTCCAAGAGAGTTGCTTATGCGGAATTTCCTTGGTAGCGATCCTGATCTGTTTCTCGGGCACAGGTCGCTGCTGGATCCTTCTGGGTTGTTGACAGTTGCGGGACATGTGTCCTGGCTTGTCGCAGTTGTAGCATCTGAAGACTTCCTTCTGGTACGGTTGTTCTCGTTTGGCCATGCTGAGGTCCATCGGTCCACTATGGTGTCCATAGGCCGTGGTTTGTCGGTTCTGCCAATGGTTGTTTCTAGGGCGGTTCTGTCCTTGGAAGCGCGGTTGATAGCGTTTCCCAGTGTTTGCTTGCGGGACTTGTTTCCTTTCCCTTCGTCGTTCGTAAAGTCGATTGTCAAGCTTGATAGCTAGTTCGACATATTTCAAGAAGTCGTTGGGTCTGTCTTGTCGAGACAGTTCGTCCTTGACTTCCTCCTTGAGACCTTCATAGAACATGAAAATCTTAGCGTTGTCGGAGTAGTTAAGTCGGGCGCAGATTCGTCTGAAATCTGCAGCGTAATGCGAGGCTGATCCTTTCTGTCGAAGGTTTGAGAGCTCTCGCTCGTATTGTCGTTCTTCATCTGGTTCTTGGAACAGAGATAGAAGTGCACTTTCGAATCCGTGCAGTCCTTCGAAGATACCTTGGGTCTCTGGCTTGAGAGTGTCCCAGTCGTTGGTTATCATAAAGTCGGTAAGATGTGGTTCGAACCATGCGAGGGCTTTTCCCTTTAAAAAGGAGGCGGCATGGATGACCTTCTCGGCTTCGTCCTTAAAGTTCATTCCGTGGAAGCGTTGGTAGGCTCTGACTTGCGTGAGGAATCCCTTCAGTTGTCCTGGGGTTCCGTCAAAGGCTTGAGGTGAGTTGAGCCTGAGCTTCTCTCGTCCGTCATGCGGCGTAGCGATGATGTTAGCGGTACCGTGGGGAGTATTGACCTTCTCCGTAAGGTAGTCCGCTTCCTTGGTCTTGTTCTCAAGTCGCTCCATAGCGTCATTGAACATCTGTTGCATCATGGCAATGTCGGAGTCGTTCTTCTTGATCTTCTTCTGTAGGTTTCCATAGACCTTACGAGTGAAGCCAAGTTCTTCTTCCGAGTCTTCGACGTCCTTCATTTCTTCGTCCAGGGTTTTGGCGGGCATAGGGGCCTTACCCTTGGAGTCGTTGGAAGTGGACGGGGTGGCTTGGGAAGACATCGTCGTTCTTACTGTTAGTGAGTTTCGTAGGGTCAACTTACTGAACAGGAGCAATTAAAGTGTTACGGCCAGCTAGTCGTAGGGGTAGTTTGCAGAAGTTGAGGCTGCGGAACTGGTAACAGTAATCGTAGTCGGGGATAGCTTCAGGGAAGCTATGTCTGTCAATCGTAAGGGTAGGTAAGGCTTCGGTGATCAATCGTAGTCTTGTCAAGGTAGTAGCTGAAAGCGGATGTTAATCCTGATACGAAGTTAATTGCTGAAGAGCTATGGAAAGTCTGTCCTAGAGCCCAGCTCGAGTCCATCCTTATATACAAGTCCGATCCTAACTGAACAGTGCTGTACAGTCCACTTTGTCTGGATATGTTGGATATGCCGAATATCCAACATATCCTTGACTCGGTTGGATATGTCGAATATCCAACATATCCTTGACTCGGTTGGATATGTCGCATATCCAACATATCCTTATCCCTTATCATATCTCTTATCATCACGTGACTTGTACCATAGTTCTTCCGTTCCTGGGGTTTCCCCAATGTTCCGTCCCGTCCTGCATATATGATGCGCCGTAGCCGCTAGGCGTCAGCGGGGCACGCCCTGGTCTTCATGTTGGGTCGTAACACCACGATCTCCCAGAAGTGGTATATAAGTGAAAGGGCCGTTTGTAAGTGCCCATACCGCCTTCCAGATCCATCTTTTCTGCCGACTGCTCAGAGATCTAACAGAATGACTAACAAGACCGTCATTTGAGGCATCAACGCAATTATCTACTACGCTCCACGGATTTTCCAAAACATAGGGCTCTCAGGCAACTCCGAAGATCTTCTAGCAACTGGCGTCGTCGGAGTCATTAACTTCTTCTCCACCATCCCCGCTATCATGTTCATGGACAGATGGGGGCGTAAGAAAGTCCTCATCATCGGTGGAGTTGGCATGGGGGTATCCCAACTCACTGTGGGTACTCTCTATGCTGTCTACAAGGACAGCTGGGCAAGCAACAAGTCGGCCGGGTGGGCTGCTGCGTTCTTTGTATGGGCCTACATCGCCAATTTTGCCTTCAGCATCGGCTGCGTCAACGGGATCGTGCCTTCAGAGATCTTTCCACCTGGAGTTCGATCCCAGGCAGTTGGTCTTGCAATTGGAACCAATTGGCTGAGCAACGTAAGTCAACAAGAAATGTCGATGGTGTTGCATTTAATACTGACATCTAGGAGTTCATCGTTGCTCTCATCACTCCTCGAATGCTCGAAGCTATCACGTTTGGCACATTCTACTTCTTCCTGGGTAAGCCGCGGACTCTTTGGACTCTTGCTTGTATGGAATACTGACTCTTTAGCTTTCTGTATGATTCTCGTTGTCTGGGTCTACTTCTTTGTCCCAGAGACTAAGGGAGTTCGGATCGAAGAGATGGACAAGCTTTTCGGTGGTAATCAAGTAGAAGCGGACATGATCAGAATGGCAAATATCAGGCAACAGTTGGGATTGGTCCAGGGGAACGATTTGAAGAAAGAATTTGATGTTGGGGTTAGTGAGGTGGAAAAGGCATGAGACATCGACATCTGAGTAGGGACCCGGCTCGAGCTACCGAGCTCTGAAAATTTAGAATTAGTGATTAATATCTGAACTTCTGAAGGCCGTCTTGTATGCTTGATTAAGTACCCACTTTGCATGCCATAATCAGGAGTACTCAAGAAACCGTACATCCGGCCTGCACACCAGAAAGACAGCAGTTCCGAGAGGTCTCTAGGTGTGTCTTCGCCTTGATTGTGCGTTCCATCATGACCCAAATGATGACTGGTAATACCCCTCCTGGAGTAGGCACAACAACAAGATTGCTGATGTCGTGCACCCCAGGATCCAAGTCACCAGTTTTGGTCACAACATCGAAACCCAAGTCAACTACCAGCTTCACCCCCGGCCCAATCATGCTCGGCTTGATGATTCCACCTTTGTTAAACTCCGTCATGACAACGACGTGACGCTTGGAATCGATGTCCGTCATTTTCCCACCGAGCATTTCCAGGATTTCGACATGGGGAAGGTGTCGTTGCAAGTCCGCCTTGAAGCCTGGCGTGATGATGTTCGTACCTCCCAGCAGAACGATAGTCAGGTCGAGCATCCAGGTCTTGTGGTTGGCGTCGAGCAGCCGCCTCAGAGCATCCAGTGCGATATTGGCCGCATAACCCTTCGCATATTCCTCAATGTGCTTTTTCATGTGGATCCTGTCCATTATTTCGTGTTCTTCGAGATGATCTGGAAGAGGTCGCTGGATCAGAATGCCATGGGTGTTCTCATCTTCGTTCAATTCGGCGATTCTGTCGAGCGTCTCGTCGACCGACGCATCAGGTGGAAGTCGGTGTGATATATATCGGATACCAGCCTTTGTAGCTTCAGTTAGTTGATCCATCTCAATTCATAGTATGGTGATGAACGTACCTTTGCCGCCACCTCGGCTTTGATCTGTAGGTATTCTTTCGCGTCGCTACCAGTATCGAAGTAGATTACCCCTAGCGTTGGCTCAACACCATCTCGCGATCTGTGCCGGTAGCACCATCGCTCAATGTTCGCGGACACAGGTAGTCCCTTGAGAAGAGACGCACCGGGGACGTGTTCGAAAGTAGGCTGGGACTCATACTTCTCATCTATGATGGCGCTCCCTTCAAGTGTGCTCAAAGACATGACGAAACACGATGCCCTCCAATCAGCGGCACAAATAGACGTAGAATCGAATAACCAGCAACTACGAACCCAAGCTCTGGTGATGAGATGCGTCAGAGGCTAGAGCCCAATTTTGATGACCTGGCAAGACGCGCCGGACATGGGGGGAGGTTGCCTGGCGCGACGGGCCGCGGTGCTAAATGAATGTCTCAGAATCCCGACTGAAGACGTCGATCTCGGTCTACAAGAAGCCGCGACAGCTAGCGCTGGTGGGGTGTGCCACACGGGAACGTCCAAGATTTTCATTCGTTTGTCGTTTATGGGTGAGAATTATTCGCGCTGTCCTGCGGTAAGCCTACCTATGTGGTGTTTCGGCTGTGCTGGTTGCCAGCCAAGCGACTCTGGATTGGGGCATGTCTAGCGATGAGGACGGAAACCCCAAGCTGCGAATTGGATTTTACCGTTACACAAGTGGTTTACTTGGGTCCTCATGCAAGTTGTGTCGAGGTACCTGACATCTTCCCTCGTTCAGTCAATCTCTTCTGGCCTCTATGTCAAATCATTGCGAGTCGAAGGACGTTGATTTACTCGCGCGATAAGTGTGAGTTGTCTGCTGTTGGACTGTACGGATGGCCAAAAGCTTTATCTTCCGATGCGACGTTCAATTGAGTCTACTCTGTGTCCACCCATCCAAATCACGCATCGGTATTCTCGGCGGTGCTCTGTTTGCCGTGCCCAGAAATCCTGTTCAAGAGCTTTGAAAACTGCCTCGTAACCGTCGCAATCCCAAAAGACCAACCCCGAATCCTGACAGTGTAGACAAAGAAGTATACCAGAGCCCAGTTGGCAACAGCAAAAGCAACCAAGATACCAAACGCAGGCCACTTGTCGCTGATGTGAACGTTGAGCGTCTGCATGTACTCGCCGCCGTTGTTGTACGGGCAGTAGCCACAGTTGGATGTCGCATTAGGGTTCTCGAGGTACCCCGTCATGGCAACCTCGTTCACGAAGCGGTCGGCATATTGGCCACATGTTGAGTCCGGAGGCGGATTGAACCTGGCGAATTCCGTGGGGCTGCACTGCACGACTGCGGGTGGAAGGACTGCTGAGAGGACGCCGCGGCTGAACCAGGTCGTTGGGTTGATGTAGTACATCCAGTACTTCCAGAACGAGGGCATGGAGGTGTAAGGCACTAGGATGCCGTTGAAGATGGCGATCATGACGAAGAAGAAGGGCAGAATCTATTGATGCGGAAGTTAGACAAGGCTTGAAGCATCAACAAGGTTGCGCGCTACTTACGTTTGATACCGTCGAGTATGATGGCCCGAAGGCGGAGATCCACTGGCCCCAGCTGGATTGGAAAAGAGACCAGACGAGAACCATGAGGTAGGTGTATCCAGAGACAGACGAAGTAGCTGGGAAGCCGACGGGGAAGTACCACAACAGCCAGTAGATTGTGGCAGAGACGATGGCCATGGGGATCTCGCACACGACGTTGGCTGTACAGAATGCAACCCAGCCATAGGTGCGACTAGGCAGTTCGCGGTCTTCCCACAGATCCCGGTTCTGGAAGAACTTGATCACGACACTGTTGACGACGGTAGGAGGTACGAAGAAGATAAGGATGATGGCGCTGAACATGCGGTTCTGCATGCCTGCGATGTCGTTTCCGAGCATCCAAAATGTCTGCGAAGAAGTCAGTCCCTGCCATTGAGTCTTAATAAAGCTAGCTGCCATGACTTACGAATCCGTTGAAGATGCCCATGAGGGTATGTACAAACACTCTGCTGTACATGTACTGCGGCTCTCTCCAATGCTGGACAAACATTCTCTTCGTGAGCAGGAGGCACTGGTATGAAGTCAAGGCCGCAAACTCCGTCTGCGCCGTCGACCTCTCCGGCGGAGCCCGTCTCTCAGCAGTAATCTGATCGATTTCAGCAACAATTGCTCTGTGCTCATTCGAGTTGCGCCACTCCTCGTTCCAGTCGATGCGCTTGCCGTCCTTGACTGACGGCTGGGACGCGGTCTCAAGGATGAACTCAGCGACGTTGCGGCTCGGGGGACAGGAGAAGCCTCGCTGCGTGAAATAATCGATAACGGTAGAGCCGTTGGTGCCGACAGGGCCAAAGTAGAATGTGTTTCCGCCCCGGTTAAGGGCCAAGATCATGTCGAATTGCTCGATGAGGTCGGATGAGGGCTGGTGGATTGTGCAGATGATGGCTTGGCCTGCGTCGCTTAGCTTTCGGAGGAATCGGACGATGGAGAATGCAGATTGGCTGTCGAGGCCACTCGTGGGCTCATCAAGGAAAAGCAGGAGACTGGGCTTGGCAGCTACTCGAATGTCAGCTAAGGTTCTTGGGTGCAGGACTTCATCAACTGGCATGCTTACCCAGTTCAACTCCAATCGTGACTCTCTTTCTCTGCTCCACTGTCAAGGAAGAAATGATGGCATTCTGCAAGTCACCCAGCTCGAGTAGGTGAATGATCCGATCCACGTACGCAATCTTCTCCTCGCGGGGGATCGTACGTTCTTGTCGAAGTAACGCAGAGAACTCCAGTGCTTCCCAAATTGTGGCAGTGCCTTCGTGAATGTCTCTCTGTTCGCAGAACCCAGTGCCTCTCTGAAACTCGGGACCCAGACTAGCTCCGTTGACGAACATGTCACCGTTAACGATACCAGTCTTTTGCCTCTGCGCAATGGTGTTGAGAAGAGTCGTCTTGCCGGCACCTGAGCTGCCCATGAGAGCAATCATCTTCCCGGGCTTGGCATATCCGCAGACACCATTCAGGAGTTGTCGTTCGCCGTTGCCGTAGGGGACCGTGTAGTTGATGTCCTTGAACGTGAAAGCGCTTTGGCCGTCGCCGATGGACTCGAAAGTCTCTTCAGTCTCTTCGGTCATAGGCCCGCTCTTCTCCTGGCCCACCGTCTTCTCATCTCGTGGTTTCGCGAAAATCAGAGACTGGGCTCCAGATCCCTTGAACCGGATCGTGTCAACGGCCAGGACAGTCATGGCGAGGAAGAAGACGGTGAAAGCAATGATGATGCCAAAGTTGCGCCACAGGTTCGCTCTCGAGCTACACATTGTCAGTATCATTTCCGAAAATTCTGCCTGGGGGGCTTACTATTGGAACGAGGCCTGCAAGTAGTCGGGTCCGCTAACGACCGTACTGCCCATGGTCGAACCGGGAAGACTGCAGCCTTGGTAGTTGGGGTCAGAGCCGGTACCACGGGGTACAAGCTGCGACTCGCTGCATTGCATTTCTCGTCCATAGAACTCATTGGCTTGAATAGCTTCGAATCCGTAGGCAACGGGGTTGGTGTAGTAGATCCAGCCAAACCAGATGGCGTCGCTGAGGAGGTTCGGCTTTGGAATTACATATCCCGTCATGATAAACATGATGTTGAGGACTGATAATAGTAGTTAGAAATGTGTTCGAGACGGTCCTTTAGTTCAATAAACTTACCAACGCCAACAAATCGGATAGAGTCATCGACAGTAGACGATAAGGACGCGAACATCCGGTACATGGTCGTAAGGCAAAATGTAGCCGTGTACACGATGAGTGTGTAGATCCAGAACTTAGAGGCATCCACATCAAATTGTGCCAAGAAGTAAACCGGTATGGAGAACAAAAGCGTCATAATGAGAATCAGCGGGAAGTCCAGAAGCATCCTCGCGATCACAACGGCAGACGGCCTGTAAAAGGCAAACACACGCTGCCTCTCAATCGTCGTTCTACCATCAATTGCGGGAACGAGTTCCGCAAATTGGAGCCACCCGATAAAGGCGATGGAGAAGAAGGCAACACCGCCCCTGGCGAAGACAGAAGAGGTGTCCTGTCCGGAGCCGTAGAAAAGTGACGAGACGATGAGACTGTTGGCGATGATGATGGCGAGCTTGGTGTAAAAGGAACTCCTATCACCCCACAGAAGCCATGCCTGGCGCTTGGTACAAGCAGCTACCTGCTTGAAAAACGAAACGGTGTAGATGGAATCTCCGATGACGGTCTTGCTCTTAGAGTCCTTGACGGTGGCTGCGAACATGCGGTGCTTGTCGTTGTTTGCGGATCTGCTGCCTCGTTCATAGTCTTCGATGTCTTGACGGATGCGCTGGTAGTGCTCGCTCTCTAGAAAAGTCCGTTCTAGCTCCTCGGGTGTTTTTGGGGCTGTATCCTCTCGGTCGGGCTGGAAGTGGCGGGCGTTCTTGTCGGCGATGGAAGTCAGGAAGTCGGCAGTTGTTCTGGAAGAAAACTTCGTCAGTTTCTCGTTTTCTCGCTGAGAGGTTCGTTGTCACTCACTGTCTGGGAGGGCAGAGGTATCCCAAGTCCTCAAAGTACTTTTTGGCCTCATCGCCGGGTCCCTGGAACAGCATGCGTCCATCGTCTATTACAAGAACCTTGTCCATCAACTCGTAGATCGACTCTCCAGCTTGGTAGAGTGTCACGAGGGTCGTCCGCCCACTAACATCGGTGTAGACACGAAGTGACTTGGCGAAACTCAGAGCTGTGCTAGCATCGAGTCCTCGGGTTGAGTTGTCCCAGCAAACGACAGATGCTCGTGTGGCTAGCGTCTCAGCCAGACTCACGCGCTTTCGCTCTCCTCCAGAAACACCTGCAAAGGGTCAGATTGCCTTAAGGTTGTGAAAGGTCTGAGCTACTCACCTCGGATGTGTTCGTCACCGACCAACGTATTCTTAGTATGATCAATGCCGAACATTTGAAGCAGTGAGTCTAGAATCAGCGGAATCGTCCACTGTTCTCTTTTCCTCGTCTTGGTTTTCAAGGCGAACCACAGAGTCTGCCAGACATTGAGAGACGGGAAATGCCGATCGTCCTCTTCGCAGTACACGACTTCGCCTCGATACCGCTCCAGTTGGTCTTCAGCTGGAATAACGCCATAATAGACCTCTCCGTCGACCTTGGCGTACTCGTCCCGATGGTTGGCAATAGCTTTGAGGAAAGTGGAACACCCGGAACCCGGTCGCCCGAGAACCAGCATAATCTCGCCATGTCGCACCGTT